TCGAGTTACCCCAGGTCTTTAGTTTTTCGATTGGAGTTTTCCTGAATGAAGTTCGCGAGCGTTTAATTATGTGTATTCTCCTTGAGGTAGGGTTCGTCAGTCGCATGTGTTGTTGTTCGTCTGGTACACTTGAGAAGGAAATCAGAAGTTAGGATAACGAAATAACGTGTGCGTCTTTTTATGCAGGTACATCTCATTCTCCCCAATATAAATATCTTATTTTTCACCCAATTATGAAAACTGTCCTGATACTCTCTACCGTGCAATGGGTTTAATACATAAACTAGTATACGAGCAAAGCAAAAATAATTGAATGATTGAAATGAACTAAGCACAGCAAACCTATCTTTCAAGAACACGGATTAAACATAGATTGTTTATGCAATGTGGACTCATTGTAGGTGAAACAAAGTTGCTGTTTACTTTAAATAAATATTTAGTAACCTTATTTGATTATATAACTTAGGGTTAACAGTTTACCCCACGTAACCATCTACCAACGTAGCATTCATGTGCCCATCTGAGTAAAATAAAACATGAACCGTATCTTCTAAATTAGAAGGCTTGTGATGTTTCAAGACGGGCCAGACAAGAAAGTAATATGTAAGGACATGCCAGTTAGTGATTCATTATTTCTAAAATGATCTTTGAACACTAATTATGTAACTACAACAGTATTATGCTTTTTATGTGAGAACATAACGACTTCACATTAGTTTACATTGCGTTTTTAGAATTTTTGATAACATAATTTTCATTTTTAGCCATCGTGTCATCCTGAACTGCAAGTGGCCATGGAACGTGGTATATGCACGCGCATTCAAAAAAATACAAATAAAGAACTAACAAACTTAGAAATAAACTGTTTTAAGCCTTAAAAGTAGATATCTCAGTGCGCAAAAAATAATGAAAAATAAAAATTCCAATTTTTGTCGGAAAAACATCGTGTTAAGGTAGAAAAGTACCTTAAAAATCTTTCTTATTTGAAACAGCTTTCTCTATAGTATATGCAATAAAATCACAACAAAAATTGCAGATAAAACCCTCTGGATCTCTCCTCGAGATATGTCTGCGACCATATTACGGAGGTTTCAAGTCCATTTACTACTACTTATTAATAGCATACTGGTTGTACGAACAGGCGGAAGTGTGTTACGTTTGACGCCCATTTTAGGGAGGTATACACCAATTCTTCGGTAATACTTTACTTCCTTTACTGTCGCACAATCACACCCCTACATTGTGAACATCTGATCAACTCCTTTCACCAAAATTCTTTTTTATGAAGCCAATAAAACATTGGAACTAGCTTTTCAGTCAACTTCAAACCAATCCTACTTCATACACATGATGGACACACCAAAAAACCGAAATAACGACGCAATATCTGAAGTTTATATAAAGAAACTAACATTTCTCTAAGCAATAAACAAAAAGCCACACGCATTCCCAAGGTTCCGTCTTAAGGTTGGGCTTTCGCTTTGGCTTCTAAAGTTACCCAGCCTTACGGCTTGCGCTGCAGGAAAAAAATGTTTAAGGTTATAACTGCACTTGGTTGTTCACGGCCAAGTACCTACTGCGTGTCAATTGCCGTTTGAAAATATTTCTTTAGGTAGTGCATATATCTTGCGTGCGGATGGGATATGTGATATGTAATGCTTATAGTTACAAATTGCTTAAGCTCTCTGTATATGACCAACATACATCGCTAACCAGAAAAACAGTTCAACATTTTTGAACGTTTTTCCAGTCGCTTTCTGGAGTTTTCCTGCGACGAGTTTTCTTGCGAAGTTTTCCTTTGGCTTCGTGCCCTCCACCATGGATTTCTCCCTCGCCGGGGCAGAGCGAACCGTGTACTAGACTTCAACCGACAACCGATAAACATTAGTTATCATATGATTTAGATTTAGATTTATTCAGTCAAAAAAAAACGTAAAAACTATGGGACGTATGGGGAAGAAGATAATGCACGATTTCTTGAGTTCCAGAATCCTTTCTCGTCATTTTAACTATGATATGTTGTAAACGTTACATTAATATGTTGTTTTAAATTTTAATTATTAAATTTACTGAAAATGGTATTAAATTTTAAAAATTTAATCGTTATTTTCAGTTCTTTTAAGATAAATCATATATTATGATAAAAGAGGGAGGTAGAATTTCCAGGCGTCAAAACGTGTGCAGAGAGCATGGAGTTAAAGTAGACACCTTGTGTTTTAATAAAAATCTACCAACGAGCCTGGGCATGACCTACGAGTAGCTCCGATATAGTTTCCAGTCATTTACTTTAACAAAGTTTACTCAGTCACGAGTTTTATTCTTAGTTTTCGTTGAAAAGATAGCTTCCATTTCATTTTTAGACATTTTACACGTAAATTGTGATTTTGTCAAGGCCATACGCTATAATACGGGCACAAATATAATCAAACGTAATTAATCAACACGATTACAATTTTCTAAATTCCCGAATTTCAAGTTTAATGCGTCACGAATCCGATTACATTCCTTAAAAACATATTTAAATGAGACTTACGTTTCAGACGTCCCAGAAACTCGTTGCTCTAGTTCACCGCATAATGTTCCAGAACCGTCCTTCTCTGTCACGACCGATGAACTGAAATACAAAATGCAAACTGAGGTCCAATGTACTACATTGCCGCTGGTCTACGGGTAAGTTGAAACAGCAAGTGGCGGGGGGAAGGGACGTTTCGTATTCTTCCGAAATATGAATGCAAATAATTTAAAGTGAGCGTTTCAGATATTTGAATTTTCAGATATTCAGATATTTTGACATATTTCAGTGTATCATTTATGTTAACGTTTACGTCTATGAGTTACGCTTATGTGCTTTGGTTTGCATTGTGAATGGACATTTACAGCCGGGCCATGGTATAGAAAAAGTGAATAATTCCAGTTCCTAAACATAGAACAAAAATTCCTCTAACACTAGTCTGTCTGTCTGTCTGTCTCTGCACAACACTAGCGCATAAACTGTTCAGACAATTTTATGCAAAATCCATATTCCCCAATCGTTCTGGCTGTTATGACGGCCCTTGGTTTCATAAACCGATATTTTAATTTTGGGGAGTACTTGACATGACGCTCCTGGGACATTTTCAAAATTTTAAAAAAAGACTCCAAATTTTTGATTAAATTTTGTTGTTTGTTGTAAAGGAGTTTAAGAGAATGGTGTAGGTCTCATTTTTGTTGTCATCGCCGATTTTTGGAAAATTAAAAAAAACAAAAAACTTTATAATTGGAGATAGATATTTTTTGTTTCAGACAAGTATGTTGCACAAAATTAGCTCTTTAAAAATGTTCATATACAATTTCTTTGAAAAAGGAGTAGTTTTTATGTTATTTGTCATTGAAATGTTTTTTCTGAAAAACCGCTCCAAAGTTAAAAAATATTCTTCGCTTATGTAATAAGAGACGCTAAGAATATGCTTGTCCCATTTTCGGGTATAGCTCGTTTTTTTTAATTTCAAAAAAAATTAAAATACAAAATAGATTTTTTGAAAATTGAAAAAAATTAAAACTTCAAAAATTGTAGATGTAGATTTTTGCTTTGGACATAGTCTTGTACAGAATTAGCTCTTTAAAAAGTCATGTACTATTTTAAGAAACAGTAGTTTTTGCGTAATTTCTGGTTGAAATTAATGATATATGATTTACACCAACTAGGGACCACGAGAAAAACTGAATGAATGATATGAAAAATAGTTAATTTAATTATAATTTGCCATTGAAAATGCCAATAATAATTCTACTTTTGCTTTCTCACACTTTTATTTTACTTAATTCTACAGTTTGCACTCTCAATGTATTGATGTAGGAGTACATGGAGTTGACGGTCTGCCGCCGGTATAATGACTTTCATCGTTCCTTCATGCCGGAATGCTTGAAAAGATGTGTTATTTAAGCTATCATTCATAAAATTATAAAATTGTCCAGTTGGAGATATCATTCAACTGTAGAGTACAAGCAAAAGCACCTAGAAACTGTATATCTAGGTGATAATATATATTCAATGATTAATAATTTATTAATTCATTTAATGAATAATATGGTAATTAGTTATTAATTTGAGCATTTCTTTCCGGACGTAGTGACCATTCTAATTTCTAAGATTTACCTTGATGGATACGCTCGCGTTGTTACGACTTTTATTTTTCTTTTAATTATATTACGCAAAATAAAAATGGCTATTGAATCATTTATTAGTGATTACTGAGTGTTTATTTAGTTGTTTAGTTTCGTATGTTTTAATTACAGACAATCATTGGATAGATTAAATCAGAACCACGTCTCTTATATTCAATTTCATGTACGCGGCAACGTTTCGCGACGCAGTTGTGGGATTCATTCATTGCGAAGTTAATTGTGACAAACATATATGAGCTCCACTAGAGATTACACGCCTGTTTAAATAAAAAATATGACTGACATATTTCATTATAGCTTCACTTTTCTTTTGAAAAAAGAAGAAAAAACCGTAATATAACTGACTTCGACCCACTTGGAGTAATTTGATGGAGTAAAATGATTAAATTAGAAAATACGAAAGAAATTGAAGGCCGTGACATTCGGTATGTTGTTTGTCTGGATTATTTAAGGGTATTTAAATATTTTTGTATTAAAGAATGTCATGCTGCCGGAGTGAGAAATTATTTGTCAGATACTACGTTTTAACGAATAGTAAAGTGACTAACATTAGCATTGTGTTTAAAAATTAATTTATTGAAAAGATGAGAAAATAAAACATTTGTATAAGGTAATGAATTCGTTGTTTCAAAAGCATTCATAATTGGATACATTGGATGACATTTATTTATCGATGTTCCATTTATTTGTGATATTATCCTTATTTGTATGATGTGCTAGAAATAAAAAATGTTTATAATATTTTTCTTTCATTTACTATTTCATTTCCTTTTTTTTCTTTAAAAAACTAACGTGCGAACTTCGCAGCAACGATGAAACTTTATAGAGGGGTTTCTGCTTTACTGCTCTCCGGGGCATCTATTGCTGTTTAATTTCTTAATGAATTATGAAGAAACTAACTATGGTTATTTTTGGTTGTAAGTCTTCATTTTAAAGAAAATAAAACATTTAAGAATGAACTTAAATTATCGTGAAGACATGGCGAAAACAAAAGGTATGAACTTCGAAACAAGCAATAGTGTTCCATAAAAAAATGCCTTAGAAGAACTTTTTATAAAACCACAACAATGCAAACTGAAAATGTGCTTTTAGCAAGACTCGATAAGAAAATGTGACCATTGTTGGCTGCATGAGCGTATTTTTGACAGCGCTCATTGACTGAGATGTGTTGATATAGATAGATATTGCGGTATAATATTATTAACTGGCGGATCCCGGCATACGTTGTCCTGCTCTCCTTCTCCTTCCCCCTCCCTTCATCACTGTCCCTGTCTTTGTCTCTCTCGCGCCAGCTGTCCTGTCCTCCTCGGCCTCGCCCTGCATCACATGGCAATGCCCAGCAACAATGAAGCTCAGATTGAATGGAAATTGAATTAAAATTAAGCGCAATCTTATACTACAGCGTCTTTTAATAGAGTTGCAACAAAATTAATAACACAAAAATATTTTGCGTGAAAAAACACGTCTATGTGCCAACTTTCGTATAGATCGGGCACAAAGGTTCTGCCGCACCTCTGCTGGAATATATTAGGAACGTGTCTCTTAGCGACAAGCGAAAAATAACAATCGCGGTGAATCTACCAGCATATTATTTATTTTCTGCATTTGCATTGAATTAATCTTTACCAAAGTTCGCAAGAGCAAGGCGTCAAATTCCGAAAAGCCTGTAAATATTTCATGTCGCATGTTGCACACGCAATATTGCATGTCGTTCAACGACATGCAAGGTTAGTGTTAGTAGTATAGCTAACCGTTGCTAAGGGGCGAGAACGTATGTACTGTTCAGCACCACTAATTTGATATATCTGGTAACCTTTTGACATCAAATCTTACTGATTAAATTTAACTGACTTGCCCACTCTTCAATCTCTGTTATCTTCCTTCTATTTTTCTTTCTTAGATATTTTTTAATTAAGTGCAATAACATTACTCAATGACTACAGAGTTTTCATGGCATCGATACTTACGTGTGTCATTAGCTTGACTCAGGGCCGGATTTAAGAAGTGCGGGGCCCCAAGCCTAAAATTGTGCTTCATCTGTTCTTCACTGCAGAAAATTGGTCGATGATGTCTTCAAAACGAAGATTTCTCAGCTTATCATGCTCAGAGTATCATATGCCTATCAAGTCCGAGTTGATATCAACTATCATACTCAGGATACTTAGGTCTACTAAATTTTCATGGCCCCCATGCCCCCCCCTGGGCCCATGGATCCGCCACTGATGTATGATAAACGATTCTAGCATTCTTCCGTTTTAGCATTTCATCTTACACATTGTTTGAGACATAATTTTTTTGGTCTATATAGGCCTCCTCTTTTGTCCTGAGGGCTCCCATAGCTGTTAATTTGAGCATGAAAATTTTGAGGTTTGCATAAAAAATGTACATATTTAGTTATAAGTAAAAGAAATAAAGTATAGTTAATATTAGACTAATTTAACAAGTAATAAATATTTTTTTAAATGTTTTGAAATTGTACATTTTGTTACACAGTAGACTACTTGATTAACAATTATTTCACAGACCAAAAAATATGATATACGTATTTTTCCGAAGAGTGGGGCCCCTGGTGAATGGGGGCCCCCAAGCAACTGCTTGTTTTGCTTGTAGGTATATCCGGCCCTGGCTTGAGTGCTCAGTAGAAATGGCTCATTTGCTGTACAGCTGCCAATGGCAGAGATAGAGATTTGCCTACTGCACAAAACGGATAACATCTATGAGGTCCGGTGTGATCTTAAACCATAAAATTGACACCTAAGGTTTCAGTTAATATTTCAAATTGCATTTACTTTCTGGCATGCTGCACACATAGTGTAGTAAAAGTTATATAATACTACAGCAAAAAAATGCAATTTGTCTATAAAAACAATTTGTGTTGTTGGTCCTTGATACCTGAAAAAAGGATACTTCTTGTTCATCGATGTTGGACATACATATATAACTTCCCTTGAACACAGTTCTTGTACGATACTGATTCCAACTCTTTGTGGAATATACGAAAGGTTGATGTCTATTCACCGAATAATTCACGGTTGATTTCCCGAACTAATATCACGTTCATTCTCGAATAATTCACGTTTTCCGAATAATTCACAGTTTATCCCGATATATTACGTTTGACCGAATAATTCAACGATTTTTTAAACCGAAGTAATATCACGTTCGATCCCGAAGATCAAAAGAATACAACTCGTTTTTCGAAATAATCAGTCACGTTATTCGAATAAATTCACGATTTTCAGAATAATATATTACAACGTTAATATCCTCGAAATAAGTTCACTGTTTACCTGATATAATGTCACGTTTTTCCGATCAATTTTCAGCGTATTTTCCATAGAATAATTCCTGACGTATTTCCGAATAATTTACGTTTTTCTCGAAAATCAATTCACCGTTTTCTGCGAATAAATGTTACGCTTTTCTGCGCATAACATTCACGTTTACTTCCTCGATACTAAATTCAATCAGTTTGTCCCGTACTAAGTTCCACGTTATATTCCG